AAATCAATGTTTATCAAATGTATGCAATGCAACTTAATCCGCCAATATGTTGCGATTTCTCTTGCGTTTGTAGTGATAACAGCGTCCTTGTTATCGTTACATACAATGGCTTATATAAACTGATTTGTGCTTCTTTGTAATGAGAATACATAACCCTGCCTTGACCGATTTCATTCGAACTCGATATTGACAACACTACTAATGTTGCACGCCATTTTGTTTCGTAATTTAAGTAAAAAATGGCCCACTGGCAATTCATTTTTGTTGAAAGTATAAATTGGCATATTGATTTGTTTTTAAATGATTCAAAGTATGTTATAAACTCATTTAGATATGAACAACACCCACGATGTTTTGTTTTGTTATTTGATTCAAAATGTCCAGTTGGTTTATATGATCGTATTCGTAGGTGGCGTCAATATGGCTGAACAAAACCTGGATAAGTTGCTATTTTTTAACATGCTGAAAACTGTAAAAAATAATTTTATTAATTGATTAATTTATTAATTGATTAATTGATTAATTTATTTATTTATTTATTTATTTATTTATTTATTTATTTATTTATTTATTTATTTATTTATTTATTTATTTATTTATTTATTTATTTGTGTGTTTGTTTATTTGTTTATTTATGCACCTGTTTTATAGGTACGACATGGACTTTGGAACTCACACAATTAATAATGAATGACGGCGATCCGACGTTTACCGAATCAGCCCATCATAATGATCGAATACCTTTTCTAGAATATAAATATGACGAGTTTCCTCAGTAAGTAATGGTTATAGGGTGATAGAGCTGTGGTGGCAGTGTTGTTGCTGGTAGTGGCAGTGACGACATTGGTGGAGGTGGCAGTTTGGTGGTGGTGAGGTTAGTTGTGGTGTTGGTAGTAGCATTGGTGACGGCGGTGGTAGTGGCAGTGGTTATGGCGGTGGGGTTGGTAATGTTGATGGTACTGTTGGTGGTGACGGCGGTAGTGGTGGCAGTGGCTATGGCAGCGGAGGTAGTAGTGTTGGTGGTGACGGCGGTGGTGGTGGTGTTGGTGGTGTTGTTGTTGGAAATGGTGATGAAGTTGGCAGTGGTTGGTAGTGATGTTGGTAACAGTGGTGGCTGTAATTATGGTGGTGGTGATGGCGGCGATGGTGGTGGTACTAGTAATGGCGGTGGTGGCATCGTGATGTTTGTGCATTTCAAATGTAAATAGGGATTATTAATGGCACTAACTTGAACCAATGCCCCGAGCGAATTATTATTGATGGCATATTTTGAAATGCATTTAGTAAGTTGTAGAATATATGTTTAGGTTCTAGTTAGAAATATGTTAATAATGTAAAAGTAATTTTACAGTAATACAATAGTAATTTTGCCTTTCCATCATGATTATCATACACAGTAATCCCATCCAGGGTAGAAATAGAATAAATAACACAAGTATAAACATTGAAATTAGTACTTGTGCAGAAGCCAAGTGACGAATAATTATCGCGGCAATGAGAAACGGTATATGATATTGCTGAACAGCGACGACGACGACGGACGACGAAACTTATCAACAGGATATGCTAGGCACAGAATTTATAAATGGACAGGCGGTCGTTTTTGTACATTAACATTGGCCAAGGGATACCTATTCGACATTTTCTGGAATTAAATGGGTCGTATTTTAGCTATGTTGGTAAAATATGTGTGATACGTGGCAATGGTAGGTCTATTTTATCGTGATTTTAAATTAGTGTATATGTTATGAGGGTGGCCATTTCTTGTCTTTTTTTACAAAAATTTGTTTTCAAGGGGTGCAATGGCTTGTTAGGAAATTTGGTCTCCCGGATCATGATTTTCACCAAAGGTCCGTGGATAAACGATACAGGTGCCCTCACTGTGTTTTCCCAAATCAAGACCGGTAGCTATTAGAACAATTACGTTCGTTTGGCTAGCGATAAACATATACATTTTGACGGTAAAAGTGTTCAAATGGTTGATACTAATAATAATACTTGTTTAATTATTTTATTCCTTCAGGTGGGAAGGACTGGGAATACTGAAAAAATTGAAATCTCCAAGACTAATAAAATCACATTTACCAGTCAGTCTCTTCCCTAAATCAGCTTTATACAAAGGTTGTAAGGTAAGTACGAGAAATGAGCGATAGAAATCTAGTATGGCCCTGAATGAGCATAGCAAATAATAGTACATTTGTATAATAATATAACTTGCCGTGTGTTTTTCATGGCGTGAAAAATAACTTTAGCGCCGAGTAATTCCGTCAACAGTGTATTCATGCCAAGTATATTTTCAATATGATTAAAAAAATAGAATCTAATGTTATCGTGTGTTTTTACTGCGAAAGTCAAACATGTAAAGATCTGATCAACTCCCATATAAAGTCTCTTTCAAAACTAGCGAAAAAATTTAATCAGAATAGGGAATCCAAAAAAAGAAACCTCCCATTCTATATATGGACATAACTGAATATCTCAAAGGGACGATATAGTTACAACGATGTGCGTTGAATTTGTGAAAAACTGGGGCAAACCGGCGCTTGAACGAACGGTAACACGAGTTACGAATTCTACTTGTTTGTCATGGTCGCGCGCTCAAGTAAACATAGAAATCAGGGAACTCGAAACTTTGACATATGACGTCAGTGCAAAGGGAGTAAAACGTTCTCTGATTGGCTGAGTAATTTAGTCATAGGTGATCTCAATGAATATCTTCTATTGGAACTGTGCGGAAGTCTGTGAGCGCGTAACCAGCAAAAATGGAGATGACACCAAACGCTCGTATAATATATACATCTTATTTTATTCAGGTTACCCGACCGTTAAATATGCTAATTATCCCGATATGCTAATTAGGTTTGATATTAAAAAGATAAGAGAAAGGGCATAATTTATATCTAGATTAGATAAATTCTATAATATGTGATGGGTATATTTGTGCAAACATAGTACACATGCAAATTAAACAAAATTATTCAGAGTGATTAAGGATTTTGTTGAAAATGCTGCGACCCTTTATCTAATCAGTTGTTGAATTGCCAAGCCAGATATGAAAGGTCTATAAAATTGTGAACAAATATTGGATACGATACTTTTTGCTAGAATTCGAAAGTTCTAATCTACAGTACTATTTCTTCCGGGAAACTGTTTTTCAATTGTTTTATTTTTTGCACATCTGCAATATTGTTTTACTGCATGGGGCAATACAAGTGTTAATGGTATTCAAATCCCGGAACGTCTCCAGACACGATCGATGAAATTGACTTCAGACACCGAACCAAGTGCACCAACAGAAATCTGTATCTGAAATTAAATTGGCTACAATTGTCAATCAAGTTAGACAGACTTCCGGTGGTTTTTAAATCTATTCAGGGACTGGCTCCCGATTATGTGTCATCAATGTTTGTTAAATCATGGAAGGTACTAACGTTAGTACCTTCCATGGTTAAATACACGCCCTCCAGAAAAGTACGCACATCTAACCGAACATAACACGTGCTGCTAGTGCACGGACTAACATGTATAGGGGGTTTCTGTATGTGAACGCTGCGTCCGAATTTAACAGTTTACCAAATGATATTAGGACCCGTCCTTCTTTTTCAATTTTTAATTTTGCTTGTAAAAAGTACCTCTTTTCACAATTTGTATCATAATAGTTGATCGTTGTGTTTTTGTCTCTGTACTTTTGTAATTTTATTTAGTTTTCTTTCACTCAATTCCCATATTATCGCTGTCGGCAGAGTAGAGCTGTTTAAATTACTGTTTGTCCGTCGTCATGCACGTAAGAAAGATGCGAGGACGTAGTAGAGTTTTCTTTATTTTTATTTACCTGATAATACTTATATTTACTACTAATATTGGTAATACAAAGTTCTTTATGTGTTATCCAAATCGTCTTTATTATGATAATATATGTTAATCACGCTATTACTATTATTAGATTAAAACTAAAAATACTACTAAAGAGTAATGTTGCTGGTATAAATGTGTGTACTCCATGGCGAACTACTAAGTGTGCATGTAAAACAACTGGTCACAGTTACGTGATATTTTACTACATAAATCCCGAGATCTGACGAATAATTGAATTATTCAAATGCCAAAATATGTGAAGCATAAAGGAGAAAGTCGAACAAGTACCAAATAATATTTGTGGACTGTAATACAAGTATAAGTACAATAAACAATAATTCTCAATGTACCGTCTTTAAATTTGAATTCCGTTTTACAGGTCTAATGGAAAATATACAACATGAGAGCCTCAATAATTTCTGAAATGAGACGGAAGAGATGGGGGAGGGGGTCAGTGTTGACATATCTGCACCATCCATAACTAACGATTAAACACTTTCAATATGGTCACATTTCATTAAAATATAATATAGTTTTAATCCATTCTGTTTTTACCTTTGGTTGAGTCTGTAATATTGCACCGTGGTGGTAAATATATCGCATTTCACTTTCATATTGTATGCTTTGTGACGAGCGGGTTCGAACACACGAAGACGAATTGCGATGTTATAGTTTATGTTTCTCTAACCATGTGTTAGTTACTCATACCCACATTATACTCATATCTGTACGTTATCTAGGTAATTTATGTCGCCCGGAATCCAAAAGATGTGGTTGTCTCCTATTATCATTTTTATAAGACAACAGTCGAATTTGGAGAATATGGCGGTGATTTCCACGACTTCCTCAAGCAGTTTATGAACGGCAAAGGTAAGAATTACAAAGGCCGATACAGTTATACGGAATACATCTAACGAGTCGCGTATTAACACTGAATACAGCATGTGTGTGCAATATACCTTAGTAACAAATGGCCGCTGAGATCTCGCTGGGATCGAGACAGCCACGCGACTTGGTTTTACGTCTGTTCCATCGCGTCTACTGTCATATGCCATCTTTATATAGATCCGGGCAACAGTGGTAAGATGACGAGAGATAATAACATTATTTTAAGGGGAACAAGTCTCGTGACATTATCACTCTCAGCGAGAACTCGGTGGCCGTTTTCGTTCAAGATTAAAGAAATGTTCCCAATGAAATACAAGGTAGCCATGATGATTTTGTCATGTCGGTTTCACTTTTTATTCCAAGTGCATTATGGGGATTGGTTTACTTACATGCTTGAATGGTGGAAATATATCGCAGATAATGATATATTATTTTTGAAGTACGAAGATATGAAGAAGGTAACCAATATTTTCTTGTTCTTCGTGGTAATATTTTCAATCTAGTCTACCATGTCGGGTAAGAGGGCTTTGAATCCAGTCATTCACAGTGCCCTTCCCAGTGCGCTCAAGAATGTCCTGGCGAATCTCTACGTAAATACGTAGACGGTACAGAATACTGTGTCATCACTGATTGGCTGTCCCCGTCACTTCAGTACATTACCATGGGAACTCATATGCGCAGACTGACATGTCCACAGACCTTCAATCTGATTGGCGGCATCTAGTCTACGGGTAAGAATGTTTATGTCTATACAGTCCTACTGACTGCTTGCTTACATTCTCACTTTCTGACCAGAACCGTAATTTGTGCCAATGATCGAGGTATTCGGGATGGGCTCTGACTTTTTTTCTATTCGACGTGGCAGACAAAATGTTGACATTTTAAATCCGTGGCAATAACAATGATATATACAATTCAACTTGGTCTTTAGTCAGGGTAGACTGTAACATTACAACGCACGTGGTCTTTTGTATCTGCATTATGATGTGATATGTAATGCATAAGATATGTGTCCTACTATACAGGATCCAAGATTGGCGACTGTGAAAATTGCAAACTACCTTAACCGCAACCTGAGTGATGAAGTCATCGACAAAATAACGGAATATTGTTCTTTTAAGAAAATGAAGAAACACGTGACAAATGAAAATAATGAGGGGAATTACATGCGAAAAGGTTTGTGATTTCATGGAAGCATCATATCTAATTCGTGAATATACCGTGTACCAGTTCTTCAAATGATTTGTCCCTGTAGTTGGCGGTGGTCGTCGCGTCCTGTTCGATATGGGACTCATAGCGACGTACACAACACGTGTAAATTACATGACATTCGAAGACGCGCTGCGCGACGACCACCGTCTCTTAGAATGGTCGAATTTGCACCTGAAAATGTACAATTTCAGTTCGTAGCGAATGTATTACTGTGTTCTGTTTCTGTTCGCAGGAGTTATTGGTGACTGGAAAAAACATTTCACTGTAGCCGAAAATGAGGCTTTTGAGAAGATTTACAATGAAAGAATGGAGGGTTCTGGTTTAAAGTTCGATTGGTGAAACTGTACACTGTAGACACGTCGTCTCTTTTATTTTACAATGTTTTGCTAAAATGTATACTCCCTTTGTATTTGACACTAACATCCATCTTTACAAAATTTATTTAAGTTTAATCCTTGAGGTACCACCCTGGCATTGTGATAGTGTGGCCAGTATCTCTAGATCAAATTGATAGCAAAAACATACGCAGTCCGTCTCTCTGGAAACTTCTCAATGCAAGTTATGTGACTGAATACAGTGGGGGAAACTGACATATTGATATTATTGTGTAAAAAAGTACAACTATGAAAAGAAAAGTTCGGGATATGTTTAACTTTATTTTTATTCAAGTTTCTTCAATTAAAAAAATATTCACGTCACCAAAATAATCAAGGTTATTCAAAATTGTCTAATTAAAGTACTTGTGCACAAGAATCACGATGAAGCAATAATTACACCACTATATAATGCCAAGATGATTGGTGCACTTGGTATATCCGAGAAATATAGATCAGCCATGCTGTTTTTTGTACTAAGACACCATACTGAACAAAATGTGATTTCCTCATCTCCCTGGTAACCAAGCACGTTCTAGTATGTGACTATTGCATCGCAACACATCACATCGCTCAGTGTTAATATGATAAGTCACCCGTCCTTGCTATGTCAAAAAAGATTTACTTATTTAGACACGTACGTTATGGTACTTGTATTCCCCCCGCCCGATTGTTACTACAAGTAATTTCAAAACTACGTGACGTGACGTGACGTGACATGGCAGGTTGGGTTACAGTCAACACCGACTTTCCAGTGCCTGCGAAGTTCACCTTTCATTTTTTTATGAACTGGAGTGTAATTTGTTTAAATTGCAGATGAATAGATTCTGGGTAGGAGTGTTAACTGTAATATTTGATAGTAGAAGTAAAAAAATGTCTCTTTCTAGCAATAGATCACAACACCCCGGGTCGCTGTCGATCATTTTTTCGTGTAAAGTAGGGTTAATATATATTTTTTCTTAGTTGGAAAATAATATTCAAGTGGTATTGCATCTATACATATGTTTATTTTGATTCTTAATGGATTTTTCAATTGATGATTTATTTGTGAAAAAGAAAGTATTTTAATTGTCGCCGTAAGCGGGCGCATTAGGTGGGATATCACACAATTCCGGTTTGCGAGAACGTTCGGGATTGATATTGATAACGCACTCGACAGACCTTTGAGAGGTGTGTAGCATTCCATGCCAATTGTTCATATTTATATACTTTGACTCATTAATTTCTACCTTACATTAATCATATATAAAGAGAAAGATTTATTAGAAAAAGTAATATGTCTTCGTTGTTGTGTTTGTGGTGGTGGTGGTGGTGGTGGTGGTGGTAATGGTGCTGGTAATGGTGCTGGTCGCCTTCGTAAACTGTTACTTATGATTACAGCAACTCAACAATTATATCCCATATGTTTGTCCTGTTTTTGTTTGTTTTTTGTCTTGGCCACTTTCCCTTTCAGAATTGACTAATTTCGATGGAACTGAGTTAAAATGACCCCATAGTAACGTAGTTGTGCTACGTACATTATTTAATTTTGTTCCCTAGCGACTACTGGTTGCCTAGAAACAACCGAACGACCGCTAAAATCGTTACTACTGGCGCCAAAACTATCCCTCCTAGAGTTAATCCCGTACCTCTTCTAAACTGTAACATAACATTATCTAATATGTGCTCCGTGAAATATATTTCGTTTTCCCCGAATTCACATAATTTAAAGAAAACTGCAAAATGAAATGTGGTGTAAGACAAAACGAAGAATAAAATATTTGCTTGTCAGAAAAACTAGATATTGTCGACGTGGAATGTCAAAGAGTACAAAGAATGGAAGTGGGAGTTACACGTAGCCGCAATCTTAAGGACATTCCATGTACAAATATTTTTGTGGATGATCATTTCTCACGGCAAACCTGGGAAATCCGTAAATATTTTTTTTCAAAAACGGAAAAAAATGTGAGAGAATAATATAAAAGCATTACGTCAATCATAAAATAAAAAAAAAAATGTGAGTTATGAAAGTAGAAGTAAATGATGAATGCGTACATTGAAGACGACTGAATTGTGAAAAGCGGTTGCTGTAAAGAAAAACGGTAAAGCGACTGGTCCAGGTGGCATTCCTGCTGAATTTTTCAAGTGTTCTATTTAATGATGTTTTTAACTAAGGAGACCTCCCCCACAGGCTGGTATCGTTGATTAATTATCCCAATATTCAAAAAAGGATTACAATTCAGACGCAAATAATTATTTGAATCTGAATTTTAATCCTTTTTTGAATATTGGGAAACTATTCCACGAAAACAGCCTTTGGGGAAGTTTCCCGAGTTAAAATATCATTAAATAGCTCTCGCATGATCATTGGGAGGTAATCGATTATTTGAACATTTGAAAAAATCAGGAATGCCATCTGGACCAGTCGCTTTACCGCTTTCACAATTTTGTCGTCTTTAATGTACGTATTTATATCGATTCAGCATTTACTTCCACGTTAATAATTAACATTTTTTTTTAATTGACATAATAGTATATGGAGATGGCGTTGCAATCTCCTCACGTTTTAAGCAAACTACGCAAACATATAATAATGTTCTTCAAAAGTCGTCGCTACAATTGAAAATACTTGCCATTTCATATGAGGGTTCACCAAAAGTTAATAGAAGAATTATATTATCGTCAATTCTGTTTGAAGTACAGACACACAGAGGAAATGTTACTCGCACTAGGTGAGACCATTATAGTGCATAGTACGAGTGCTAGAATTGACTTGACTTTTCGTTGTTTATTAGACGTATTAACAGGGGAGTTTTCCCTTTAAGAAGGGCCCCAATCTTTACACACATCACATGTGTTTTTTTCACTGCAAGCTCGATATTTCGGGCAAATCGGATAAGAATTACCAATACCGGCCTCATCACGCATCCTATATTTATAAAGCAGTGTTAGATATGTACCCACAAATTCAAAAATTAAGAAATGCCACATGTGAGACGCACCTTTACATATCGTGTAGTATGTCTGAATGTAGTAAAACTAATTTTACTACTTTAAGACATATATGAGAAGTTTAAATCTTGTATTTAACTTTAATATTGTTGGTGGTACTAGAAAAGAGTGTCCACTCAATCCAACTTTTTGTTTAATGAAATTCGTTACTTTTCCGTCTGTGTCACCGACTGTTATTCAGCAAACTTGGCCTAAATGAATGTGAAAATCTATTAATTAAAGTAGCTTTTGTTTGGTTCTTGAAAAATTGCTGCGAGTATATTGGTAAACTTCACTAATCACAAATCATTCGCGAATTCATACTGAATCATATATCATTCAATGTGGTAATATTGGACAAGGATTGTAGTCGACGACGGCCATGGAGCGTCTGACAAGATCACAGTGAATACCCGAACCAATCTATCCGAAGTCTACCACTCAAACGATAAGCCTGTGCCTTTCATTTTTTCGTTGTAAATCCTCTCAAAGGCCTCATTTTCAGCTACAGTGAAATAGTTTTTCCAGTCGCCAACAATCCCTGCAAAAAGAAAAATAAATTCATTAGGATTTAAACATATTAAAATGTATTGATATGTCTAGGTCAAATGTTCACATTTCAATGTAAATACTGCAATTTTTAATTAGCCAAAACATTCATAAGGGTTTAAGACCAATCATATATAATCACCCATTTCTAAGATCGAAATTTTCATGATAAGTTCAGCTATATATAGCTGTACACAATAAGGAACAACATTCATATATTTATATAAAAACACATAACATATCTCATTGAACTATGGCAAAATACAAACAATATAGAACTGATTTGAAAGATACTGACCCCGACCATTTTAAAATAGGATCTGACTGAAAATTATAGTTACAAATACTTGTCTGCAGGCCTGGAATAGAAAAGCTTGTGTAAGCTGTCCCCCTCAGTAAAATCTAATTATTGGTAACATCAACACATCTCTATTCTGGGCTACGACGTGACCTGTTGCACGAAAGCGAACGTACACAGCAAGGACACTGATTAAGCAATAGAGGGCAGCATACAACCACATTTAGAAATTTTCTTTAAAACGCTCTTGATATACATTACCTTTTCTTACTGTTGATTCTATCGCCGGTGCTTTTTTCATGTTCTTGAACGAACAGTGTTCTGTTATTTTATCAATTACATCATCATTTAAGTCATACCCTAGGTAATCGGCAATTCTCGCGGTCGCTGATCTTGGATCCTAGAACATATACCGGTACATGTAGATACATTATGCTTATTATTATATAAAATTTATAAAAAGTTATTCATTGCACATTGTTGTCTCACGATGCAATCTATATTGTGGTGCATACAAGACATAAGTTCATGGACACACAGACTCCTCATAAAAACAGACCATACTTCTTAGCTTCACACTGTTTCGAACTCAACCACAAGTAAAAATTTAAATAACAATGGTACACGCAGGAAGGTTTGTTTTTAAAAATGTCATCACCATATACATTCGTCAGTGAGTAAGGGAGTTGCAAATTTAAATTGCTCATAGAATGTTGATTCCTTTGATTTGAAATTGTTACGTTATCTAGGTTTACATCTTATCAAATCGACTATTGTTTGTACGTTATTTATATACAAGTACATGGAAATTTAAATTGTGTATAATATGAGGTTATTACGAAGATACCTCAAAGTATGCACG